CACATACATAAAACACACAAAGACAAAGGTCCACTGTGTAGCCTTTACCAGACTGTTGGGGAAAGTGCCCTTAGCGAGAGTACCTTTCGAATGTTGGCACTGCACACGAGAGGCAGTGGTGTAGGTAGAAACCACGCCGGGTCGCCTTTGTCTACCCAGTGCTGACGTTTACACACTGCACACACACACGCACACACGCTCACACACGCTCGCACACACACGCACACACACAACAACCGCCATTCGCCACTAAGTGGCGGTGACGTCGCCATGGCGCTTGTGCCAGGTTAGGTGCGCTTTGAGGCCACGTGGAGTGTCCAAGGTATGCTGGCAGCAGGTCACGGGACAGACCCAGGACTGAGATGACCCCTTGTGCTCCCCACTTTTGCCAACTGAATTTTAGCCCCCCCCCGGCGCTTCGCTCGTTGTTGTGAGCGTCGCTCCGACTGCCTCCCAAATGCCCAGTAACAAAACACTAACTGTTCACTCCTCATCTATCCACCCATCCAGTCTGTGGCTTGCACAAGGCATTTGGTTTCCTGACCTTCACACAGTGAGTTAACCTTAGACGTTCGCCTTTGCTAAGCCCCATGTTGGTGTGGGAGTGCGAGTTTTATTTTGTGGGCATATTGTAAAGATCAGGGAGGGGATGATGATCACGCAATCGGGGTCGCCACCTTTCCTCCATACAAACCCAACCCAGACGGAGTTTCTCAATCCGCCTTGGTCTATGGTCAGCACAGCACAGCAGAGAACTCACGTTCAACACAACACCGGTACCGGATCTCGGCACAAATCAATTCCTGCCGCCCAAAAGCAGTGGACAATTTTCTGACTTCAAACCCAGACAGGTGGCCACCCTATTATGGAACGCCTTTTTGAGTGAATGTGTGTGTGTGTGCGGTATTGTTTTTTTATGACGTGTAAACATTTCCATTCGGGGAGACAAAAGCGGTCGACCGTGGTGCTGGCCACCCACCCCTTCTTGTGCCGTGCCGGCCTTCATAGGTGCTACTCGCTAACAGCACTTGCCCCAACAGTCTGGGGATCTTTGTCTTTGAGTGAGTGAGAGGATGGGTGAATTGAGTTGATGGCTGAGTGAGTGACGGGCTAAGTGAGTGATGAGTGAGTGGGTGGATGAGTAAGTGACTGGATGAGTGAGTGATGAGATTAGTGAGTGACTGATAAGATTAGTGAGTGACTGGGTGGATGTGTAAGTGACTGGATGAGTGAATGAGTGAGTGGATGAGTAAGAGGATGGGTGAGGGAATGATGAAATGAGTGGGTGAGTGGGTGAGTGAGTGAGTGGGTGAACGAGGTTCATATGGGGGTGCATCTTTGTCTATGGTTTATTTTTTTAGGGGGGAGGAAATTGTGGTAAAGATCAAGGCGACGAGCAAATCCCGGCGCCCGTGAGCGACGGGTTTCGCAAAGCAGTCCCGCGGGGCGGTGTGGATTCATTAGCGAGTCGCGGTGCTCTCACCCTGTGCTTGATTAAATTTACGCGCGCCTGTGGAGGACTGTAGACACATTGGCATGTCGTAGGGGGGCCGGTGGTGGTGGCGGTGGTGGCGGCTGTAGCAGTTGTGGCTGTGACAATCGGTGGTGGTGTTGTTGGCATTGGTGGTGGAATTGAGGGTCGTGGAGGCAGTGATATAGTAATGGCAGTGGTGGTGATGGTGGTGGCTTTCAGTTGTGCTCAGTAATAGCACTTGTCCTAACATTCTACGTGGGCTACACGAGGGATTTTTGTCTGTGTGTGTGTTGTACTTGCTGTGTGGGGAGCGGTGGTGTAGCGGTTAGCGCTACGCTGCGCTACGAACCTGGCTACCCGGGTTCAATTCCCGCTCGCGGCCAACACCAGTGACGATTATCTGAACCGGTCCTGGGCCTCCCATAGGTCGACTTAGCCTCAAATGAGTACCTGGTACGATGTGTAAACATCGTGTGTGTGTGGAGTGGTGAGGTGTGTGGGTGATGTGTGGTAGTGGTGAGGTGTATGTGTGTAAGGGAGCGGTGGTGTAGCGGTTAGCGCGCTGCGTATTTGAACCCGGCGACCCGAGTTCAATTCCCGCTCACGGCCAAAACCGGTGACGATTATCTGAACCTGTCCTGGGCCTCCCATAGGTCGACTCAGCCTCAAATGAGTACCTGGTACGATGTGTAAACATCTCCACTAGGGAGACAAAGGCGGCCGGGCGTGGTGTTGGCCACCCAACCGCTCGTGTGTCGTGCCGGCCCTCATATGTGCTCGCTAACAGCACTTGCCCCCAAAAGAAAGTCTGTCAAGGTTATACGGGGGAGCTTTGTTTTTGTACTTGCTGTATACACGCACACCGAAGCGTGATGTCCCATGGGGATCCGGTTTCTACCCAGATCTGCTTTGTTTCCACCACACTCTTCCTTCCCGGATTACGTTCAACCGAAAAAGGCCCATCAATGACAACAATAACACACGAGGCTATAATATTAATAATAACAGCAGCACCAATTTTGTAACAAAAAAAATCGTCGGCGCTATCCTTCTCATGGCGTTGCGAGGCTGTCACGGAGGATGGCGCCACTTTGTTTCGCGGACATGAATCTGCCATTCGAGGGCGATGTTTCTCCGTGGATTCCCAATTGAGTCATTTTCGGTGCGTAGTTTTTCAAATTCGAATCGTGGCGCTGGCAGACAATCGCCTCCTTCTTCTTGGTTCTCTCGGTAAAGTCACGTAGAAGGGAAATAATAAAATAATAAAAATAAAACATAATAAAATAATTCTCACGACGTTTCGGCCACAACGCAAGCAGCCGTCCTCAGGTGAAGAACAGGTCTGTCGGAAAGACAGCCTCATTCAGACGCTGAGGACGGCTGCTTGCGTTGTGGCCGAAACGTCGTGAGAATTATTTTATTATGTTTTATTTTTATTATTTTATTATTTCCCTTCTACGTGACTTTACCGAAAGAACCAAGAAGATGAATCCCTGCAGTCACGAAAGCTTTAAATCGAAATTTAAGTGTACCAACTCTTAAATGTACAACTTTGGTCGTGCTGCTTGTTGCTGGCTGCTTGACGTGTTTGTGCTTCCTTCCGCTACTTGGCGGAGGGACGAGGAGTGTCAGGCGGGGTGGGGAGGGGGGTTGGTGGGTGGGTGGGGGGGATGGTGAATCTACGCTCGTCTCTCACGCTCCCCAGTGAATACCCCGTGTGTGCGTAGCTGTTACATCTCATTTAGCGTCATCCACTCCCCCCCTGACTCCCTCTCGCCGCTATAATTGGGGGCGGGGAGGGGGGGGCATGGCAGTGTTCGTGTTGCTTGTGTTGAGCGCGGCGATTTTTAAATTGCCAGCGCAGCAGCGTTGGTGCCTGGGTGGCCCGGGGGTCGGAAGCGCTGACCCGGAGTGAGATCCCGGCTTCCGATCCAGGTTTTAATATTTTTTTTTATTTTATTTGATCAGGTATGGCCCACTGAGCTGTCTAGTTTCTTTTTCAGAAGCGACCTGGCCACAAACGAGAGCTCACCGAAGTGGCTTATCATGTTGAAATGTGTAGCAGCCAAGTACTCTAAACGCACGTCGATTCTAAATGTGGAGGGGAAAACCGGAGGACCGGGAGAAAAATCCACATGACTTCGGGGAGATAGAGAACATGCAAACTCCAAATATACAGCAGGCTTCAGGCTAGGGATCGAACCCACGACCTCCTGTATGTATAACAGGGTAGTTAACATCTCGCCATGGTAGAGACGCAAGCTCCAAATATACAGCAGGCGTTAGGGTCGGGATCGAACCCACGACCTTCTGTATACCAGGTGAGGTTGTTAACATCTCGCCACGGTAGAGATAGACATGCAAACTCCAAATATACAGCAGGCTTTAGGGTCGGGATCGAACCCACGACCTCCTGCATAACAGGCGAGGTTGCTAACATCTCGCCACCATGGCGCCCCCAGTCGCACAGCCACGGCGATTGCACCGGGGTGTCAAGCGTCGTTAGTTGATGGTCCCTACGAGCAACTGCGTGAGCCGATGGGTCTTTGCGCGAGTGTAGGGGGTCTCTGTGAGTCTGTAGGATCGTACGTGATTAGGCACTGGTGGCCTTGCGGAGTCCTTCAATTCGCTGCATTTAGGAGGATGGTTTCATGGCGGGTGGACTGCTTTGGCACGTTGAGCCGTGATGCTCAGCTTGCACTTTGACTCGGGGCTCGGCACAAGGCAGCCTTCCTCTCCTGTTATGGTGTTGGCGTTGGCGGTGGCGGTGATGGCAGAGGTCGTGGTAGCGGCGGTTATTGTCTTTATACGTCCGTTGCTGTGTCCGCGTGTCCTCGTGTCTGTGTGTCCGTACGTATGTGTGTGGCCATGTGTGATGGTGATCATCATAATCATCACGATAATCGTCATCATCGTCATCTACTATCATCTTGGTCCACATTGTCGTTTTTGTTGGCATCATCACAATCATTGTCATCAGCCTTGAACAACGGGTGCCTTAGCGGCAAGTATCAGACATCACCGTTGGGGAGATAAAGGTGGCCGCGCGTGGTTCTGGCCACACCACCCCCAAGTCCATCCAAAGCGTCCTGCATCGTTGCTCGTGAAGAGCAGTTTCCCCAGGAGTCTGTTGTAGGCCGTGTCAACTCGTGTACCCGTGTACGTGTGTGTGCGTTGCCACGTGTGTGTGTGTGTGCGTGTGCTTCTATGGGGAGCGGTCGTGGAGTGGTTGCCATACTGCGCTACGACCCCGGCAACCTGAGTGCGATTCCTGCTCACAGCTAACAATGTTGGCGAATATCCGAACAGGTCCTGTGCCTCCCCTAAGTCGACTCGGCGCGTTGTGGAAACAATCGCCACTCGGGAGACATGAATGTGGCCGCGTGTGTTGCCGGCTGCCCACCCCGTCGTGTGTGGTGCCGACCTTCACAGGCGCTGGTACTCGCCAACAGCACTTGCCCCGACAGTCTGTTAACGCTACATGAGGGATCTTTGACTGTGTTTCCGTGTGTGTGACCGTGCGCAGACCCCGCCTTCACCGCAGTGCCGGCGTGATGCTCTAGGGGGGACATGAGGAGGGGGCGCTGGTCGGGCGAGTGGGGAATCGGTAGCGGCCGCCCTCACCGAAACCCTCACCGAAACCCTCACCGGCACCGGCAACGTCTCCTCCGCGCCGCGCCGCGGCTACGCCGGGATCTCCTCTCGGTCTCGCCGGCGAGTTGCCGGGCGGCACGACTCGCCGCCGGCTGCTGAAGTTTCGCCGTTTGGTTTGGGTTACCACCAGCAGTGTTTGTACGAAGCTCGCGAATTGATCGCAGCCGTGTTAATTTTCCGTGAGACAAAAAAACCAAACAAACTGTAATCGGTGTTTTATAAACTTGCTGTCCTCAGCGCTAATTGCCAAAATCAGCCGGTCCCCAGCGGGCGTCAGACGGCGCCACCGCCGCTCGCGATTTTATATAACTTGTGACACTTAACACGAGATGGCCTAACCGCGCGTAGCCACTTTATACATGTTCACGATTGGTTTGAGCCTGACCCCAGGCGTGTACGGTTTGCCTCGCTGACACGCGCGGCGTGACGGGTCCCGGTCTCGCTCCCTTATACCACGATGAGCTCTTGACTGAGAACTTTGGGGAGCGGGAGACCCGCGGATACCGTGCGAGGCCCATCACCCGGACATTCCTTTCATCGGTGTTGACGGTTTCAACATCGTCATCGTCAAAAATTTACAGCAGCAAAAGCCACAACCGCAACAAAAGCTCCAACCAGCAACAAGAACAGCAACAATAATCCACAGCAGCAAAACCAACAACAACAACAGCATTAATAGTCCAAAACGGCATCAACCACCTCAGCAGGTACAACAACCACAACAACAACCCACAACATCAGTCATCTACCGGCACAACAACAACAACAACAATTGATCTCGTCAAGGAGCAGCGGCTTTTGGCTGGCCACCAAACAAAGACGGTCACCGCATCGGCCGCTTTCAGACGCGCTTCTGTGGCCGTCTGGAACGCTCTTCCGATATTAGCAATCTACCGGGGGCGATGCACGTTTCACATCATCTCGATTGAATACTCATTTCTGGAGAAATGATTTTCGTGCTTTAGTTTGTTCTACTTCCCCCGGCACCTCCGACCACGTACGCCGCTAAAGAAGCTCAGCGTACGTACACGCACAACCGCAGCGGTGGTAGCGTCAGCGCGCGGCGGCGGCGACGATGGTGGTGCGAGCGTTCCCGCTGTGCAAGCTGGGCCGGCTGCTGCGCTGGCTCAAGCTGCTGCTGTGCCTGGCGCTGCTGTGCCTGGCGCTGGCTCGCTCGCACGACTTCCTCAGCTCGCTGCGGCACAACGTGCTCACGGAGCGCCGCTTCCTTGGCCTGCACCGCTGCCCGGCGTGCTTCGGCACCAGCTGGTGCCGACGCTTCTCGGCGGGGCAGCTCACCTTCCGGGGAGCCGCGCAGTTCCGCCTGCTCGACAGGTTCAACCGGCAGCAGGTGTGGCGGTGGCGGTGACGGTGGTGGTGGTGACTGTAGTGGTGGTGGCGGTGACAGTGGCGGTGGTGGCGGTGACGGTGGTGGTGACGGTGGTGACGGTGGTGGTGGTGGTGGTGAAGGTGGTGATGGTGGTGGTGGTGGCGGTGACGGTGGTGGTGGTGATGGTGGTGGTGGCGGTGACGGTGGTGGTGCTGGCGGTGGTGGTGGCGGTGGTGGTGGCGGTGTTGGTGGCGGTGACGGTGGCGGTGGTGGTGGTGGTGGTGGCGGTGGTGGTGGCGGTGGCGGTGGTTGTGACTGTGGTAGGTCGACACGGCCTCAGATGAGTGCCTGGTGCGGTGTGTAAACATCGCCACAAGGGAGACAAAGGTGGCAGGGGGTGGTGTTGCCAATCCAACCCCTCGTGTGCCGTTTCGGCCTTCATAGGTGCTCGTGGACAGCTCTTGCCCTAACAGTTTGTTAAGGCTACACGAGGGATCTTTGTCTTTGTTTTGGTGATTGTGGTTGTGGTCGGTCGACTCAGCCTCAAATCAGTACCTGGTGCGGTGTGTAAACATCGCCCCTCGGGAGATGAAGGCAGCCAGGTGTGGTGCTGACCACCCACCACCTTGTGTTCCATGCTGGCCTTCATAGGTGCTGCTACTCGCTAACAGCACTTGCACCAACAGTCTGTTCAGGCTATACGGGGGATCTTTGTCTTTGGCGGCAGTGGTGATGATGGTGGCGGTGACGCGATGACCGAACAGCGGTGCGATTTCCACCCGTTGCTTTGTTGAAAATATATATGTAAAGAAAACGTCTTCTTGGTTTTTTCGGTAGAGTCACGTAGAAGGGAAATAATAAAATAATAAAAATAAAACAATAAAATAATATAAATAATATATTTTTTATATATATATTATTTATATGTTTTATTTTTATTACAATAATAAAATAATATAAATAATATTTTTATATATATTATTTTATTATGTTTTATTTTTATTATTTTATTATTTCTCTTCTACGTGACTTTACCGAAAGAACCAAGAAGACGAATCCCTGCAGTCACGAAAGCTTTAAATCGTAAAGAAAACGTGTAAGACTGGCGACGGTGTTGATGGTAACGGTGGAATCTTTCCCACCCTCAAGTGCTGCGTGCTTACACCTTGGCAGCAGCCACAACGACGTTGCTGATGACGACGGTTTTAACGACGATGACGTCAACGACGGACGACGCCGACGGAGCGACGACGACGTTTATCTTCTTCTTGGTTCTTTCGGTAAAGTCGCGTAGAAGGGAAATAATAAAATAATAAAAATTAAACATAATAAAATAATTCTCACGACGTTTCGGCCACAACGCAAGCAGCCGTCCTCAGGTGGAGAACAAGTCTGTCGAGAAGACAGAGTCTGAATGACACACCCCAGGCTTGGAGCGTCTATTTAGTTTGCCCGGTTTGCCACCCCCCTCCGCCGGGCGCCCGCAGGTGTTTGCCGGGCGGCACACGGAGCCGCGGGAAGGCCCGCGCGATGTCACCCTCAAGCGCCTGGGCTCGCCGGCGCAGCTGGCCGAACTGGACCGCGCCCTCTGCCTGCGCGCCACCGGGCGGGCCGCGTGCGACGTGGCCAAGGCCGTCCTGCGCTCCGAGTTCAACCGTCTCAACGGTGAGCGGCCCGGGCGTGGGTACGGGCGGTGCCGGGGGGGGAGCGAGCTAAGGGCGACGCAAGCCTCGCCGTCCGCGCAGTTTGAATTTCCGCGGCGAGTCGACCTTCGTGAGAGTTATCGTGAAGGCCGCGTTACTCGCGGACTCGCGAGAATGCCCGTAGTTTCGCACGGAAACCCGTAGACTCGCCAGAGACCCGCGGGCTCGCAGAGACCAGTAGATCTGTGCAGAAAGCCATAGACTCACGCCGTGCGTACGCGGTGCGGCCGTGTAGGCGACCCCAAGGCCGGCGTGCCACCGGCGCGGCTGCTGACGCCGGCCGTGGTGGAGGGCTGGTCCGACCTGGTGCACTGCCCGTCGCAGCGGCTGCTGGACCGCGTGGTGCGGCGCTACGCGGAAACACGCGACTCGGGCAGCTTCCTGCTCAAGAACCTCAAGGACTCGGAGAAAATCACCCTCCTCCTCACCATCGCGTTCAACCCCGAGCCGCTCGTCATGCAGGTGAGGGAGACGGAGGGAGAGACGGAGGGGGAGACGGAGGGGGAGACGGAGGGGGAGGAGGAGGAGGGGGTGGAGGAGGAGGGGGAGGAGGAGGGGGAGGGGGAGAAGGAGGGGGAGGAGGAGGGGGAGGAGGAGGAGGTGGAGGGGGAGGAGGAGAAGGAGGGAGGGAAGGAGGGGGAGGAAGGGGGGGGGAGGAGGGGGAGGAGGAGGAGGAGGGGGGGAAGGAGGGGGAGGGGGGGGGAGGAGGAGGGGGAGACGGAGGGGGAGGGGGAGGAGGAGGGGGAGGAGGAGGGGGAGGAGGAGGGAGAGGAGAAGGGGGAGGAGGAGGGGGAGGAGGAGGGGGAGACGATGACAGAGTTAATGAGACAGTCACAGACGGGCAGAGAAACCCAGAGAGACGCAATCTATAGACTTGTGGAGCAGACCAGAGTAGAGTGAGATGAGAGGGGAGTGGTAGGAGAGTGTGTGGAGGGGAGTAGGAGAGTGAGCTGAGAGAGGAGAGCGTGGGGATGGTAGTAGAGTGAGAGGCAGGAGAGGGATGTGGGGGAGAGGACGGAGTTGGGGAGGCAGTAGAGGAGAGAATTGCAGGAGTCCTCAATCTCAACCTGTCTTTGTTTCCCCGGTGCTTCTGTCGGTGCATCTGCACTCACACGCACACACGCGACACACGCGCGACGGAAATAACTCGCTCTGCATTCCTCCCCGCCTCATATGCCCGTCCATTGTGTGCGTGCGTGCTTTGTGTGTGCGCGCGCGTGCGTGCGCGTATTGTTATTATCCTCGTGTACTCTGCATTCATGAATTTGGGTCGGTGCTTGTGTTAGCACTCGTGGCTAGTTAGCTAAGGTTATGCTTCGTGGTGGGGCTAATGTTCTTGGCTAGTAAGTAACAGGTAGGGTCAGTGCAAGGGCTCGTGCAAGTGGCTCATTACTTGGGCTTAGGGGCATGGTGCGTGGGGTGGATAATGCGATTAGGGTTGCGGGTTACTACTTCGGGGTCGGCAGGCAGGCAGGCCGAGCGCTCGCCGTCTCTGACCCGTGCCGCCACGGCGTCGCTAAGTAAGCGCTCGCGGTAATTGACTTGTGAGCTTTGGGGCAGCCCTGTGCAGCAGCAGCAGCATCATCATCAGCACCGCCGTCACGACCTGTGTCTCGGTGGAACGCGCTCGCAGCGTGAGCCGTCGGAGCAAAACCTGTCTACGGGCACCACGCATGCACGCACGGGTGCTCGATGACAATTGTTCCTATATTTACCCTGCGCGCTTCTGCGGTGTGACATTGACACTGGGGGTAGCGCCGCGCTTGGCCCTTAGCGCAGTGGCACAGCGAAGGCCAGCGAGGGTTGGTGGATTGCGCCTGTCAGTCTCTCCCCCCCTCTACCCGCGGGCGTCGAGGTCTTGCCAGCCCAGCAATTTCCATCAGCACGGGGATCGAGCGTTGCCCCCCCCCCCCCTCCGCTGTTCCGCTGCGAATTAGGCGGGGTGCGTTGTCGTAGTATCGAAACTTTTAAATTTGTTACGATTATTTTTAATTCTACCAGTTAAGGCCCACTGAGCTATGTAACTTCTTCTTCAGAAGCGACCTGACCACAAACGATAGCTCGCCAAAGTGGCTTGTCACGTGGAAATGTACAGCGGTAGCCAAATGCTCTAAACGCACGTTTCTAAATGTGGAGGGAAAAACCGGAAGACCCGGAGAAAAATTCACGCGACCACGGGGAGAACATGCAAACTCCAAATATACAGCAGCAGGCATCAGGGTCGGGATCGAACCCACAACCTCCTGTATACCTGGCGAGGTAGTTAACATCTCCTAGCCACCGTGATGATGATGAGAGAGAGACACGTAAACTCCAAATATACAGCAGGTGTCAGGGTCGGAATCGAACCCACAACCTCCTGCATACCAGGCGAGGTAGTTAACATCTCCTAGCCACCGTGATGATGATGAGAGAGCGACACGTAAACTCCAAATATACAGCAGGCGTCAGGGTCGGAATCGAACCCACAACCTCCTGCATACCAGGCGAGGTAGTTAACATCTCCTAGCCACCGTGATGATGATGAGAGAGAGACACGTAAACTCCAAATATACAGCAGGCGTTAGGGTCGGAATCGAACCCACAACCTCCTGCATACCAGGCGATGTTGTTAACATCTCCTAGCCACCGTGATGATGATGAGAGAGAGACGCAAACTCCAAATATACAGCAGCAGGCGTCAGGGTCGGGATCGAACCCACAACCTCCTGTATACCAGGCGAGGTAGTTAACATCTCTTAGCCACCGTGGTTAACACACCCACCCGCAGCACTAACCAGGACGGCCTGCCAGATTCGACCCACGAGCCACTCCCAACAACTGCCGAGCATTCGAACGCTCGGCCACTTTGGCATCTATTGGCAAGATAATGAATTGCAATTGGGGGGTGAATGACGGGAGGGGAAGGGGGTTGGGAGGTTGTGCTCACGAGCCAGCTTCATGCTAGCCCTAACCAGAACCATAAACAGACCCCTAACCAGACCCCTAACCAGCCCCTTAACCAGACCTCTAACCAGACCTCTAACCAGAACACTAACCAAAGCCCTAAGCAGACCCCTAACCAACCAGCCAGACATTCCGTGCAACAATAGCCGGGTGGCGTGGTGGGGGTTTCATTCTTAGCGACCTCACGACCTTTGACCCGAGCGGCCGCGTGCTGATGTCGCGATCTCCAGCCGCATGCCTCATCGCCTGTTCCTTAAAATACAAAAACATAAAAAGAACTCGCGAAAGGACACCGCTGAGAATCCTGGCCTCCCATCTGGGTTTCAGCTGCACGACCACAGCAATTAAACCGGCTTCGCAAGTGCGGAAAGTTGATGGTTTCAGCCAGGTCACAAGTGACTTACGTAGAGACCCATAGATGTATGCAGAGACCCACAGACTCACACGGAGAGCTACAGACTCGCACAGAGACCCACAGACTCCTACAGAGACCCATAGACTCACACGGAGAGCCACAGACTCGCACAGAGACCCATAGACTCACACAGAGATCCACAGACTCACACAGAGACCCATAGACTCACACGGAGACCCATAGACTCACACATAGACCCACAAACTCACACAGAGACCCACCGACTCACACAGAGACCCACAGACTCACGCAGAGACCCACAGACTCACACAGAGACCCACAGACTCACACAGAGACTCACAGACTCACACAGACACCCACAGACTCACACAGAGACCCGTAGACTCACACAGAGACTGTGGCGTGCGTGTGTGCGTGTGCTAGAGCTTCCCTCCGGATGAGGGCTGGCCTCTGGCCAAGTACCTGGGTGCGTGTGGGCGGATTGTGGCCGAGAGCTACGTGGGGCCTCCGCTCTCCGACCTCCTGAGCTCGCCCTGGGAGAAACGTGTCGACCTCGCCTGGCAGGCGCGTCACGCACGCACCACCAAAACCACCATCACAACCATCTCCACAACCATCATCATCACCACTACCACCACCGTCAATCATCGCCACCACCATCACAGCTATCACCACCACCATCATAACCATCACCTCCGCCATCATCATCACCACCACCACCACCGTCAATCATCGCCACCATCATAACCATCACCACCGAAACCACCATCATAACCATCTCCACAACCAGCATCATCACCACCACCACCGTCAATCATCGCCACCACCGTCACAGCTATCACCACCACCATCATAACCATCACCACCGAAACCACCATCACAACCATCTCCGCAACCATCATCATCACCACCACCACCACCACCACCGTCAATCATCTCCACCACCATCACAGCTATCACCACCACCATCACAACCATCTCCACAACCAGCATCATCACCACCACCACCGTCAATCATCGCCGTCACCATCACAGCTATCACCACCACCATCATAACCATCACCACAATCATCATCACCACTACCACCACCGTCAATCATCACCACCACCGTCACAGCTATCACCACCACCATCATAACCATCACCACCGCCATCATCATCACCACCACCGTCAATCATCGCCACCATCATAACCATCACCACCGAAACCACCATCATAACCATCTCCACAACCATCATCATCATCACCGTCAATCATCTCCACCACCATCACAGCTATCACCACCACCATCATAACCATCTCCACAACCATCATCATCACCACCACCACCGTCAATCATCGCCACCACCATCACAGCTATCACCACCACCATCATAACCATCACCACTGCCATCAATCAACTCCACCACCATCATATTCATAATCACCGTCATAACCACCGCCACTATCATCCTAACCATCACCACCATCATAACCATCACCACCGTAACCACCTCCGCCACCATTGCCCCGTCCGCCACCACCTCCCGCAGGCCCTGGAGCTGGCGGAGCAGCTGAGCAACAACGACCTGGACTTTGGCCTCTACCTGCTGGACGTGCGAGCCGAGAGCTTCGGCGTGGGCACACGCGACGGGCGGCTCATCCTCACCGAGGCCTCGCGAGTCCTGGTGTCGGACAAGCGCCACATCCGCCAGGGTACGGCCGTGACGTCGCTGGCGATTCGCTTGCAGCAAAACCACGACGTGGAACTCCCTTGCGTGTGTCTGGCGCGCGTGTGTCTACGTGTGTGTGTAAACATTGCCACTGGCGAGACAAAGGTGTCCGGGCGCGGTGCTTTTGATCCCAAATTACATGCGAAATCTGGGAACTCATCTTCTTGGTTCTTTTGGTACAGTCACGTAGAATGGAAATAATAAAATAATAAAAATAAAACATACGTGACTTTACGGAAAGAACCAAGAAGATGAATCCCTGCAGTCACGAAAGCTTTAAATCGAAATCTGGGAACTGTTCATAGACAATTAGACGCACGTCGCAGATTTTTTCGGATTTGTCCAACGGTAATAACGACGGGTCAGACAAGATCTACGGACAAGATCCTTGTGTTAATTCTAGATATTGTAGTTCACAAGATCCTTGTGTTAATTCTAGATATTGTAGTTCACAAGATCCTTGTGTTAATTCTAGATATTGTAGTTCACAACATCCTTGTGTGAATTCTAGATATTGTAGTTCACAAGATCCTTGTGTTAATTCTAGATATTTGTAGTTCACAAGATCCTTGTGTTAATTCTAGATATTGTAGTTCACAAGATCCTTGTGTTAATTCCAGATATTGTAGTTCACAAGCTCCTTGTGTTAATTCTAGATATTGTAGTTCACAAGATCCTTGTGTTAATTCTAGATATTGTAGTTCACAAGATCCTAGTGAACTACAATAGCCCTGCAGTGAGAAATGCCTTCCCGCGTCCAGTTAAGCCTGCTGTTGCAAAACTGGCTCGGACTCAAGGATGGATCTCGAACATCTGCCGGAAACGAACTCGGCTCTGCAGCGCCGTGACGTGGTCACGCTGACCATGTACTTTATTATCCACGCGACACCGCCACCCCCTCACCGCCTCCCCCCATCCCTCACAGAGCGCCCGGCCCAGTTTGACTCCCCATACGAGACAGCGCACCAGGATTGCCGCGACTCCTACGACTGCCTCGCCCTCTCCCCGTCGCGCAAGCACCTCTGCTCGCGCCTCTCTCACGACCACAACCACTACGCCGTGTGCCGCAACCTCCTGGCTCCGCTGTGGGCCGGGGGCACCCGGGGCGGGGCGGCTCTGCTCGGGGGGGCCCCGCGGCCCCTGGCGGGCCGCCTAGAGGCCCTGCTGGCCGAATGCGTGCGGCCCAAGAGGCCCGGCGGGCGGGCCGCGGCAGCCGGAGAGTTGCGAAGATGGCTCGCCGATCTCAACGCCAACTACAGCAAGCTGGCGGCGGCGGCGGGGATTGTGGATGTCAGTGGCGGCACTGAGAGGTAGCGGCTGACTTGGGGGGGGGAACGGGGGGGGCGGCAGGGGGGGGGAGGTCGGTGCGGCCTGACCCGCGACCTGGCCGCTCGCCGCCACCGTGAGTGCCGATGCTGGACGGCGTTTGCCGGACGTGGCGGTAGCGCACGCGGTGAGGGTTGGGTCGGAGCGACGACGGTTTTTTTACTCTCCGCTACCCCCCCTGCTCCGATGAGCATCGTTGAGGCCGGCGCTCATCTGTTTACAGCCCTGCAGAGCCAGCCGCCGGAGACATTCCACATTCTCGTGGCAGGTGGAGGACGGGGGGGGGGGGGGCGAGCGAGTCTACCCGTAGGACGACCGCCATTGACGTCTCCTGCGAAGTGGTGCTTCATTTTCTCGACCGCGTTTCGGAGAGATGATGGGCCGGGACAAGCAAGCCACCCCCCCTCCCCCCACCCCGCCAACCAGGATTCGAACTCGGGGACTTCCGCTCGCTCCGCCGCTGAGCTACCGGGGCCAGAAGACGTGGCCCCCCAGGTGCGGTGAAATATGGTACTTGAAGATTTTTAGTTGTTTTTCTAAACTGTATTCCGCTAAGTTTCCGCAAGCTTCCGAACTCGCCTCACTTCCTCCTCGCTGTCGTCTAACGCACGCTCGGGGCAGTGTTAGCAGTGACCAATTGGGCACTGTACGCGTGGTGTTTGTTCGCGCTATCGCTCTCGTCGCACCGACTGCCCGGTGGTCTCACGGTAGTTTGGCGACGTTTGGTGATCCCAAGCGAGTGATTTTGTGGTGCGATTTTTTTTTTCGAATCGGGCAAAATTTGAACAAACTGAACACACACTCTCTAGGACAGGGGGAGTACATACAAACTGAACACACACACACACTGAACACACACACATACTGAACACACACACACTCTCTAGGACAGGGGGAGTACATACAAACTGAACACACACACACTGAACACACACACATACTGAACACACACACACTCTCTAGGACAGGGGGAGTACATACAAACTGAACACACACTCACTCTCACTAGAACAGGGTGAGTACATACACACTGAACACACACACACACTCTGTAGAACAGGGGGAGTACATACAAACTGAACACACACACACTGAACACACACACACACTGAACACACACACACTGTAGAACAGGGGGAGTACATATAAACTGAACACACACACACACTGAACACACACACGTACTCTGTAGAACAGGGGGAGTACATACAAACTGAACACACACACACACTGAACACACACACACACTGAACACACACACACTCTGTAGAACAGGGGGAGTACATACAAACTGAACACACACACACACTGAACATACACATACACACTGAACACACACACACTCTGTAGAACAGGGGGAGTACATACAAACTGAACACACACACACACTGAACACACACACACACACTAAACACACACACACACTGAACACACACACACTCTGTAGAACAGGGGGAGTACATACACACTGCACACACACACACTCCAGAACAGGGAGGCGACATACACACTGCACACAAAAATAGAGTCCCAGGCAGGGAGTTGAACCCCAGCTATTCCCTGTGAGGCGCGAGCGTGACCACTGCACCGCCACCCTGCTGCCCTGAACGATTGCATCGCTGTCGCCAATGAGATTGCCCCCTGTGGGGTGCGGCCCCCCCCCATCCACTTGAGTTATCTTCTCGTTTCAACGAAACGAACTCTCAAAATTTCGATTTAAAGCTTTCGTGACTGCAGGGATTCATCTTCTTGGTTCTTTTGGTAAAGTCACGTAGAAGGGAAATAATAAAGTAATAAAAATAAAACATATTATTTTATTATGTTTTATTTTTATTACTTTATTATTTCCATTCTACGTGACTTTACCGAAAGAACCAAGAAGATGAACTCTCAAAAGTTTGCGATCCCGGGCGTAGCCGTTAGAGGGCAGAAACCCACCACTTTGTCGCATCCCGTTTGGGGCGAATGGAGATTGTTTCGGCTGACTGTGAAAAGACCAATCGTCCATATCCTTCCCATATCTGCCCCTCCACATACACATTTTTCTTTTACACATCCCATCAGCCTGGCGGCCTTCCTCCCTGGGAGTGCGTCTTGAGCGGCTTTGAGATCCGACGTCTCGTCAGCAGGAGAGGAGTCGAGCTTGGGTTGGTTTTCGCATTCGTGCCACGAATCTTCCTGCCCGCTGTTTGGCGCAGCGCGAAACGTCGGACGCGTCGCCGCGGCGAACGGGACGGCGTGTAGCGGGGCACGACGCTGCGGAGAAATGTCGCTGTGAAAAGCAGCAGCAGCGGCAAGCAGCAGCAAACGGTTTACAACGTTCGGTTCGGTTTTCGTTTCGGGTATCTAACCTGGGTGTTCTTCGTCATCGTTGTGCTATGGTGAGTTGAATAGGGTGGCCTCGGAGGGCGGGGTCGGGGGGCGGGGGGGTTGTCTGTGAGGGATGATGGGGGGGGTGGGGGACCCCAGTAATCAACATCACTTCGGTGTTAGGCCTGCTGAGATTTCCTGTGTCCCTCCAGGAGGTTTCTTACTCTGTGCCTCTTC